ATCATGAAAAAGTCCTATTTTTAAAAAATTATTATTATTATTATTATTATTATTATTATTATTATTATTATGAAGAAGAAGAAGAATGACATTGTTTTAAATTTTTGCAAATAACGTCAATATCTGGCAAATAATTTTGATTTTGTGGACCCCTGAGAGGGGTCTTGGGGGACCCCCAGGGGTCCTTGGACTACATTTTAAGAAACACTGCTTTAGGTAATCACTTGCCTTTCGTGGGCTGAATTTAAGCATATAAATATCCAGGCATTTACAGAGTAGAGCAGAGCTATACAGATGGTGTATGAAATAAGTGGTTTCTTCCCCCACTGTCTAGCGATACATCATACAGAGAGAGGCCCTATACACATGGAAGCTCCTGTACAAACTGGATCTTGTTCTATTGGTATAACAGGCTCACCCCTTACAAGCGTACATACAGAAGCTACTTCTTACAGACATTTATGCTGTGTGCACAAGTGCCCCCTGGGGAGGAGTAAATGACTGTTGCTTTACTACAGTACTTTTTAAACACTTATATATTCAGTATAGCTGTACTGGCCAGACTGCTTTTGAACACATTTATTTGAGCTGAACCGAAGCACTGTCTTTTATGCATCTACAGTAATCACTTTCTCAGAAAGTATCTGGTCTATGAAAACTATCTGCTCCTTTGAACCATACCACTGGAGGAACTGCACTCAGAATGATTGGAAATAATAGCTCTTTGAAAGAGTCTTCAATATTTTACATTTAAAGATGCACAACGATAATTGAAATAGTCGTCTTTATGCTCAGAAAATACCAATACCCTCAGATGGCTTTCTTTCCTGTCATCTCTTTAACACTGATCTGAAATGTTCATAAGTATGCATAACTGGTGTGTGTTTTATTTTGTAGGGTTTCCAAGGGAAAACTGGCCCACCTGGCCCTGGTGGTGTTGTTGGACCTCAGGTACAATGTTGTCTAAACTTGATGATTGATTGAACTTGTAACCCACTTTTTCTCATAGAGCTCAAGGTGTTGTACATTGAGGTCTCCCTGCAGGTAACCTCCAAAGATAAATTAGGTTGAGAAAAAAATATTGGCTGAAGTCATCAAGTGAGCTCATGGTTGAATGCCAACTTGAACCTAGGTCTACCTAGGCCAAGGGACCCCAAACCCTTCAGCTCATCTTCATGAAATTTCAGATTGTTCATCAATCCCCAAACATTTATTATATGAAAATAATTTAATAAATACTACTTTAGCTAATAGTACTATGAGTAATAATAGCAACAATAATGGATAATCCCATTGACCCTTAAGGGCTGATATTGACCACTTTGGAGAACCCTGCCCTAGTCCATTCCTTAACTCTTCTGCTACATTTCCTTTGTAAGCTTTAGAGGGAACATTGGCTTGGCCGTATTCATTAACCAACAAGCTCCATCATGGTAGTCCAGTATGTAGCCTAACAGTATGGTCACATAATCCTATAAAAGTTCTCACAATATTGTACCAATTTGCCATTTATGTTAGACCAGTGGCTACATGTTTTTCTGAGTGATCAGTATTTGCTTGTTTGTCCTACTGCCACAGAGATCTATCTTTAGCCATGGAATTCTCAAGTCTATTTGTACAAAGTATCTCCAAAATGAAGCTGCTACAGGTAGTCCTTGAATTACGACAGCAATTGGGACTGGAATTTCCATTGCTAAGCGATGTACTCATAAAGTGCAACCATATCACTTAGTGATGACAATTCCTGCAGTCCCAATTGCCATCATTAACTGAATGGCAGTGGTTGTTAGGTGAGGACCTCCTCTCAATTTCCTACCGGCTTCCCACAACCAAAATAAGTGGGGAAGCCAGCAGGAAGTTGCAAGTCCCAGGCAGCTCGCAAGCAGGCAGACAGGTAAGTGGCTGCTGCCAAGTGGGGGAGGGCATGTAGGGGTGTGCAGGTGGCTGGAGCAGTGCAGCACAAGTGCAGCAAGGCTTGGGTTGGTTGCTGCTAGGTGGGGGAGGGAGCAAGGGGGTGTTAATTTAAATGCTTCAAGGAGAAGAAGCATTACATGAGACCCAGTGTGGTATGGTTGTTAAAGTGCTGGACTGGCACTGGGGAGACTCAGATTTTAGTTTAACTTCAGCCATTGGCAAAGCTCAGAGAGGATGCTTGGGGGGTGCATGGTGGGGGAGGCTCAGGGAGGGTGCACGAGGGGGCTTGGAGAGGGTGTGCAGAGATGCACAAGGGTGTAAGGAAGACATGGCAAGATTCAGGGAGGGTGTGTGGGAGTGCACAAGGGTACGAGAGAGGCACGGTGAGGCTTGGGGAGGGTGCACAAGGGTACAAGGGAGGCTCAGGGAGGGGAGGGTGTGCAAGTGGCTGGCATAAGTGCATAGGGGCTGGGGGAGGGTGTACAGATGGGGGAGACTTACCCCAGCAACTTGCAACCTTTCCTGCTGGCTTCCCCATTGACTTTCTGGGGAAGCCAGCAGGGAAGGTCACAAATGGCAATCATGGGGTGCTGCAACCGGTCACAAGCATAAGCTGGTTGCCAAGCACCCAGATTGCAATTGTGTGACTGCAGGGGTGCTGGGACGGCTGGAACTCCAAGGACTGGTTGTAACCACCATTCATTCAGCACCACTGTAACTTTGAACTGTCGCATAAGTTGAGGACTATCTGTATTGGTTTTACTGAAGCCATATGTCAAGCGAAGGTTGAGGTTTTCATGAGAAAAAGCCCAAGGACTTTCAGTCAAAGGCTCAAAAAGTTTGATGAGATTATCTGTCTGTCTGTCTGTCTATCTGTTTTAGAGGATTTCTTGCATTCTTATCACATAACCCAGAGAAAATGTCTCTGGTGATG